CATAATGGAGTCACTCAACTGGCAAGGGAACTAATACACAAGAACAAAATAGCTGAACTGAAAAAATCCACAAGTCAATATATTTTGCAGCTGTGTTATTTTTACCTAAACGTTGCATTCTCAGTTTAGTGAACAAGCTCCATTAGGTTCCCCCATGGTGCACATACATAAAATACTGCATTCATCAGTCATCCATGTGTCACCTATATGACGTACGACACCAATTAGTTTGCTAAATTACTTACATCGTGGGCCTATTGTTGAAACAAAACAGCACTAACCAAACCAACTGCTGAGGTCGGCCTTGACCCCAAGCATTGACCGTGTTTACAAGTACTTCACTTCTTAGATGTGAAAAGCTATTTGTTGGTACTATGTAGAATTCTAAGCAAACAGGTTTGTATAAACAGGAGATACATACTTCAGATTTGTTAGAATTTACTTGCTTTGCAACAGTGTAGTGATCCCTATAATCCAAGAGAACACAGTCATACATTAAGGAATCTGCTGATGTGACTTTTGGACTTTAATCTGGCAACATCTAGAAGTTAAGGGGCAGAATAAAATCAAGATAAAAAAAAAAAAAAAAGGACAAAAATGATAAAAATCAAGAGGAGAGTGGATAAAACTGTAAACCAAGCTGCAATTCCTTCATCAATTTTCTATAATTCACTATTAAGTAAAATTCCCTATGGGGGCTTGTTTGCTAAACCTAGAACTGTAGCAAATTGAAATACGGGCAGCAAAACGTATTAAGAGGATATACGCTCACTACAAGTCCAAGTGATATGCAATATCTGATGATGCACTCAAGCAAGACCATTGACAAGGGCATAGCTATCAATTGGATGCGTCTGCCATAGCCAACCAGATTAATCCAGAAATATTAAGAAGAATCAATGCATGCTCTTGATAAAGTGTGAATACATAAAATAATCTCAAACTCTGGCCTCTCACATGTTGATGGCCTACAAATACCAAAATTCTTTCAATTCAATAGAAGGACAGAGAATCAAAGGAGACGAAGTTCAGCAACATCTGAAGTCGTGTGGGCGGCTTTTACAATTTCTGTATTCAATTTCATTGTGGTTTAAGCTTTTAAATAATCTTATAGGGCTAAATAAAATGATTTATACTATTATTAAATGGACTGGAGGCTCTGCATTCAGTGGACATTTATTTACTTGAAGTACATGATACATATGCTCTCGCAGTGCAGTTACGTTATCTCTGCTGATCCCAAAAAGAAAGAAATAGCGCAAGACAGCAGAACACGGGACCCAGAACAGGTCTGTCTCACCAGACATAAGACATTTGGGTGTGTCATCAGAGATGGGCAGGGAGGAGTAACGTTTGGAGAGAGAGAAAAAAAAATATGTCTTCTGTTTTTAACTACTTACTCATAAATGACAAGCCAAGCTTGCATACCTGCAGGGATTCTCCACATTTTGCATGCAGTATGAATGTAAGTCATACTGCTGCACTGCACCCATACTCCCAAGATATCACTTTCTTCACTCTCTCGCTTTTATAACAAGTAGCTGTTTCTGAGCAATATACTTTGGATATTTGAGATAAGGCAAACTGAAAACAAGCAATACTTGGGAGGTCTATCTATGCATTAAAACATATTTTCTTAATTATATATATATATATATATATATGACCAAGAGGGCTGCACTCACCTGAACATGCATACATTATAGGGTACTGCTGGGGCCAAAATATTCAAAATACAGATTCCAGCGCACTCGCTTAGTCACTAAACAATGATTTCAAATCTTAGAGATTGTAATAGTTTTATTTAAAAACACCTCACCTAGGCAAAAAACAATGGGTGTTTAGTTACATTATATGATCATATATTGCATAAGCCTGCCACAACGTCAATGTACCCCCATTATATATATATATATATATATATACACACACACACACACACACACACAGCAGCGACAGGGGCCGATGGTGCATTCATTATATACAGTATAGCACAGTATAACAAGAAATGTCACAGTACCATACTAAAAACAATAGTATAATATAGAACAGTACAGAATGATCTAGGATTTCGAAATACAGTGTAATACAGGGAAAATCAGCAGAGGTTTGCCTAAACGGACATGTGGATGAGAGGCTCGTCTAGGGTAGAGTCCATATAAGATAAATTCATTAAAAGAGAGAGGTGGGAGGGGTCAGTGTCCCACTCCATGTTGTAGTGTCTACCAGCACAGGTGAATATAAATAGGTTGGCAAACCCCTCCCACAAAGCCAATCTAATAAATAAATAAGAAAAATATTTATATATAATCATATTTTAAGCAGATTTTTTTTTTCTCTGTATGTTTGGTAGGATATCCTAGTCACTATTACACATTTTTCAGGATATTTCAGATACTTTACCAAACAAAACTGTCAATGCAATAATTTAGGGAACAGTGGATCACTTTTTTTTTTATATAAGATGCGGACTCTGTATCTAGTCATTAAATAAAGACCTGATGTGAATTAACAATGGATTTGCAAAAAATAAAAATAAAAAAGGCCTCAATGCTTAGCCAATACATAGATGTAAAAAAATATCTCAATCAACCTCTGAGTAAGGTACAATCCCAGGAATGTATTCACGAATTGCCAAATTTAGGCCAAAATACAGATTTAGTCTATATATAGAGATGGACATTATTTTCAAGATCAGCACTTTGCTCAACTACATATTGCATTTAGGTTTTCAATTCAATGTGGTGTTTACAGAATAAGCCCCTCGGAGTTAAAAATATACTGCTTCTAATTCTAGTGAAAACAGTAAATACGGGACACTTACAACAGTATAAAACATTAAGGTAGGGCTTGAATGCAACCCTGGAATCTACCCCTAATCATTAGATCTTTAAACAACCACCGATTATTAAGTAAACATTATTAAAACAAAACAAATACAATATACACACAGTACGCAAAACCATTGGATCATCTGCAAAGTATAATGCATTGCACAACCTGTCTGCATTCTTAGTAAATCCCAATTTCTCATCATGAAACAAAACAGTACAACAGGCTATCATTATTATTGGCATTTATATAGCGTCAGCTTATTCTTCAGTGCTTTTACAATATAATTAAGATTCAAATACAATATAGGGAGCTTATTATACAATGACACATGAAGACCAACTTACATCAATAAACAATAGAACGTGACTCATTATGGCATTAGCTACAAAGTGATTCTTTCAAAGCTTTTATTTAACAGAGTTATATATTACACTAGGATTTAATAGTGGATATAAAAAAAAAATGTGTTCTTTCACTCAATGTGTTCAATTTGGTGGCTAAAATAAGGATCTGTATTTTAGTCCACAGCTTAGCCCTAAATTTATTATCCCTTGCCTTGTTCGCGTATGTATTACTAACCTTGTATTGTCTCATTTATTTGGGTAACTGAAATGTTTAATTTAATTATTGCATGTTAAATATGAAATTATATTTATTTATACAGTATCAACAGTGTTAGATGCTTTATTCACAAACCAACAAAACAGAGTGCTTTGAAAACTATTATTGCAAAATTCAAAGTAATATAAATTATTTTAGAACATTCTTCAACTCACCAGGTCACAACGTGGCTATTTTAGCCTAGATTTTGCAAATTTGGGTTTCAATGTACTACAATATGCAGTTTGGTAAATAAACCCCCTTGAGTAAACAGAGCAAAACATAATTTAACAAACAGAAACAAACTGACACAGTAGGTTTTAATTACCCAAGTACTGAAGCCAACGTACAATAATATTTGGTTTCAGGTAACTATCAGACTCCAACCCACCACTGCAGCAAGTTAGAACAAGCGATAACATTTGGAAAACGATATAGCGCATTTATAAAAATTAATACCTTAAATGCAGTTTCTGGGACAAGAATCCTGCAGGGAAAATTCACTATAGGAGTGTTGGTCCTATGCAGAGATCCTACAGACAGATGTGTGCGAATCTTCACTCTCCTTATCTGTCAGGTAAGACTGACGTTTACCTGTTGCAACAAGGGGGAGGATGTGTTAACACTCACAAACCAAGCCCAGGTTTGAAGACAGGGAGGAGGTACAGTGCTGTGCCCTTCAGGGGACCAAACAGGTTTCTCTGATAAATTCCTCTGTCCCTTGCTTCCTCTCCTAATACAGCAAGTGGGCATTGCTACCACATTCTTCAAATTCTCAATACAAGCGTCATTTTAGTTGGTATCCTGGAAACAAACACCTTCTTTAGAAAGTTTTTTAAAACTTTTTATTTGTTCTACGGTCAGGTTGAGCATTTCTGCATTGCTGGTTGTTTCCATTGTCATTTAAAGATTTTTTTTTTCTAACTCTATTCAGACCTGTTTTACAACTTTTAACTCAATGACACCCATAAACGTGGGGGTTGCCAGTACTTGCAGTTAAGATTCAGACAGCTAATCCTAGATGTGTGTCTTTCTTGTTCTGTCATTGTATACACACAGTACGGTCATATTGAATGGACATCTCTCTGCTATACTTTCAGATTCTTACTAATCACAAAGAGCATGTGCCTTGATTCACATAGCTTACCCAGCATGTTGCATTATATTTGTTTAATCTGGTTTCCAAAGTGGTCTAGCTTGTTTGGGTGACTGTCCTAACTGGGAAGGGTGTGGACATTCTGTCTTGCTTTTGGCATTTTCTTGTAGTAAATCATTGGTTCATACAAGGAATCCAGTTTTTTGTGTAGATAAACACATGGCGGCACTAATATTGGACTCTGTTGGCCTGTCAATGCTCACATCCAAGAGTCTATTAAACTGTTGATCTCACATTTTATCTTAATCTTGCAACAATATCTTTGATGGCCTTGTTAAACAGTTCCCATATGTGCAAATACAGATTTCCTGCGTAAATCTTTGATCTATTCATAAAGGCAATTTAACCCTTACATATAGTACAATCGCTATCAAAAAAAAACAAAAAACAACAAGATCACCAACTCTGTGCACGAATATAGTAAATGAGAGCTATACAAAATGCATGACATCTATCTTTGTAATAATAACCCAGTATTTAGAAAGGTTTGCCTGGGCAATCAAAACATTATACTACTTTTACCCAACAAGTTCAGAGTTCATTTAATTGACCTCTGAAGAATAAATGACTAACACCCGAAACGATTTAAACCTGTGGCCTTTGGGCTCCTCATCATGAATGAATATTGTAGGTACATTAACAAACAAGGATAGAAATAGGGCAACACGTCGGAAGTCAAAAAACAAAAACAGATTTGGTTGGATTTGTAGAACTTAATATACCCAAAGCTGGACACTTTTTGAAACACAGGAACAAATCAATCATTTGGATTCATTTTCCATTTCCCAGCAAGGAGATAAATGCTGCATTGTGCCAGGTTATGGTACGTGGACAGACAATGTAATGGAACGCAAGGCAAGTGAGAGATTAGCATATTCTAAAATTTAGGGCAAGGGACCAGAAAAATAACATTGTACAGAATAAATATTTAAAGACATATAGGGTTCTATAACATATGGTGTTTGGGATAGATATCTGTCAGACTGGAAATTGCAGAGACTGCTCATATATCAGGTGGCTGATGCAATAGACTAGGCCCCTATATTGTAAAATATGAATTCAATTGCTTTGCCAACTTTTGTATCCCAGCATCTCCAAACATATTCACGGCTCTATCAACCTGAAGTGACAATACAATAATGTACAATTAATACTCACAGCTAGGTTAGTGTCACGCCGCCCGCCAGGTCCGCTCCTGCCAGAGAGTGGTATGGTTCCCGGCAGGAGCGTATCATTGCGGCGGCGTTCCCACATCGCAAGTGGAATGCCGTCAAATACTCACCCTGTCTCCAGGCACCCGCTGGGTCCGCTCCTGCCTGGGAACAGACTGGGACACGGCGGGCGCATCTCGTTGTGGCGGCATTCCCACGTGATAATGGGAATGTCACTTACCTCCTCCTGCGATGCCTGCTGTCCTCTGACAGGCACTTCTCCCCTCACACAGAGGCCGGGCCTGTAATCATTAGAGACGCCGGCTGCTGCAAGTTTTAAGGTTCTTACTTAACCCTTTGAGTGCCTAACTTGGAAAAGTATGTGTGTGGCGTCACAAATGTCACATGCACCCCTGTAGCCAATCAAAGAGCACCTTAGGCTATTTAAACCCTTTTCCTTAATTTCTCTGTGCCCTGTCGTGGTTTCCATTCTGGTTATCCGATAGTGCGTTTCTAGGGTATATTGACCTCAGCTTTCTGACTATTCGGCTCTCTGTATCCTTTGACCATTGGCTTGGCTCCCGACTATTCTGACTTCTATATTCCTTGACCTTTGGCTTCCATACCATTTACGTGATATCTGTATTCTTGACCTCAGCCTGTCTTGTGTTTTTCCTTTTATACGTTAAATCTGGCCGTTCTAAGGCCCGGTAATACATCTTAGGGTTTTCTTTATTTTTACTTAAGTTCTGCGTATTGGGCATATTAGTGTATCCTGACAGTTAGCAAGGCACAAAGAGTGAATGCTGTCACACTTCAGATTCATTCCTTGAGATATTACAGTCTGAAAGCTCACTAGTGATTTCCAAAGCTAGGAAGCAAGGCAGGCCCAGAACGAGACAGGGAACTTGAGTAATGGGTGAACTGGACTTTCACAGTGGTGTTAGGCAGAAGAATAGCATCCTCCCACAGCACATACACATTTGAACTTCAACAAAAAAAAGCATATAAATATTCACCTGAATATGGCTGGACCTAACAAGACTTGGCAAGGAACATTTGATGCTAATAGTACTGATGCAAAAAATCACAGAAACCGTAGCAACAGTGAGATAAAACTATAAGGGTTTACTAGCATTTAAGTAGCTTCTTCCTTTAATTTTACAGGTTTCTACTCCAGTATGATCACTTAAAGGCACATTGAATCCAAGGTATGTAGGCTGTAGCGCATTAAATACATATTTAAATCCACAAGATCATCTCACCTTTTTTTATACTTCTACGGTGCTCTACTTGACCAAGCATTGCATTGCAGGCTATATACTTCATAAAGAAAATAAGGAAATAATTGTTTGACACCAAGTCAAGAGAATAGGTACAATTTTCAGGTGGACCCGACTGCCTTGTCACCATGAAGTCAACTACTCGTAGACTGTGCTGAGGTGAGTGGGATTGCAATGGGAGATGAAATGGAAAATATCATCTGGGCACAAATCTTTTCACTACAGTTTTAGAGGCTGAAAATACCAAACAACACATATATATATATATATTTCAATTATTTGAATGCATCTGAACCTTTCTCTTCCATTGAGTTGATAGGTGTCTTGTAAGGTTGTCAGCTTGAGGTGGATATTGTTTTAACCAGATGAAATTCTCAAATATGAAACACTCTGTCTAGGTAACAAAAATGCCGTGGCAGTGCGCACAGTGTCTTGTGACTATTACAGTAAGTTCTTGATGTATTACAGTAAGTAATCCACGAGGCTGGAGCTTTCTTTTCTGAATACAACACAGCCACAAGTCATTCTGATGCACACATTCCAAAAATATTTTGGGGAAATTTATTCAGATTTACTACAAAATAAAACATTTTTTTCCCCTACATTTGTTTTTTCTCCTTTTTTCATAAAGCACCAAGTAGTCAATAAAAAAAAAAAAAAAAAAATTAAAAAAAATTTGGACTTACATTGAGCTACTTGTGGAGGCCTTTACGCAGGTGACCTGGATATCTCCACCAAGGCTCCCTTCCCAGTGATTAGCTCTTTAGTGATTATATTCCAACACCGATCAAGGTGAACAACTCTGTTTTATTGTCCTCAGGAGAACAATAGTTATTTTGCAACACATGGCCACCTTGGTGTCTGTGCCTGCAAAGATAACTTTATATCACTTAGAGACTGATGTTCAGTCCAAAGAGTGCTTGAATCGGAGGAGTCAACCCTGAATAGTCTGGATGTTGAGTTTTAACCAGGCTGCGAGCATCATTCAATCTGGCGCATAGTTCCATAGCTCTGTGTGAAAAGTCACGGTCACTTCCAATGACTGCGCTGGACTTTCGTTGGTACATGGAGTTCCCTTAAAGTCTTTGGTATTGCTTGATGCCCCACCACCTCCTCTGTCACCCCTCCATAAAGCAGCCTGTGTGGTGGCCCAGGGACCGAGAATGAATTTGAAGAGGTTTTACTTGATTGCGGCAACACTGCGCTCCAATTTGGAGCTTCAGACGGTTTGTGGGTTGCTCCTGGTCAGGCACACGGTGTCTCTGCGAGTACCCCCACCAATCTCTGATGTTGTCTGGGACCCTGAGCTTGGAGACACTGTCTGGAAGGGGGTCAATTGGTAATTTTAGTTTTAGGAGGATGTGGTGGTTGGGAGCTATGTACAAGTCCTGGGAGACAGGGTGGTCTGTCACAGTGCTCCCCCCTTGTAAAGGTCTCCAGCATTCACGGCTTGACCCTTTTAGGTCAACTTGGAGATGTCCAGGTTTAAAGTCTTAAGGAACAAGCTTGGTCTGCGGGACAACCTGTCGGCATTCCCATTTTGCTTACCAGGTCAACAGTCAATGGTTAAGTCATATAGTTGCCAAGCTACACCGCAGCAAGCATGCATTGTCCCCTGCGACTCAGTTTAGCCAGACCAATGGGTTGTGTTACATAATTACACAGCTGAAAAGACATGCATCCATCAAATACGACCTTCTCAGATTTGTTCTTGCCATTGTGGTTGATTATGAGGGTAAAAGCACATCCATAAAGATAGGGGGGTAAGCTTCTTAAGTGCCCAGACCAGGAAATATTTAGTCACCACAGCATATCTAACTTCCCAGGGTAAGAGCTTGTGACTGATATTGGCTACTCGGTGTTCTCTTCCATCCTCCCAAACATGGAGGCATCTGTATTAACACTTGTTAGGATCTGGAATGGCCACGATGGGGGCATTGATCAGGGCGTTCTTCAGGGACTGAAAGGCTCTCTCGCATTCAGGAGACTACAGTACCTGCCTAGGGAGATTCTTAAGGGGTTTAGTGATGGCGCTATGGTCGAGGGAAAGAGCGTCGGTAGTAGCTGGCTGTTTCCATGACTTGTGCCTTGGTATAGGGAATGGGCCAATAAGCTGGCTCCAGCCACTGCTTTCCACACTCTACCCGGTGCCCAAAGTATTGCACCTCGACCATACCAATGTGGCGCTTGTCTGACTTTAAGGTTAATCCCTAATCCTGTCCAATACCATTCCAAGATTTTCCAGGTGGTCCTCCCAAATATTGCTAAAGACTGCTATGTCGTCCAGGAGTCGGTCCACAATGAACTGGAACATAGCCAGGGGGTTCTTCATTCCAAATGGAATGACCCGAAACAGGTAGAGGTCAAGTAGGGTGACGAAGGTAAATTTTTGAACAACCTCCTTGGCCAGAGGATTCTGCCAGTAATCCTTACATAGGTCGATAGTGGTCAGATATCGTCCACTGGCAATACGATCTAACAACCTGGGGTGTATCGGTTCCTAACTTATCGTTTAGTTGCCAGAAGTTAACACAGAAGCAGGTTGTTTCTTCTCACTTTGGTACCAGGACTGAAGCAGAGCATCTCTTGTATCTCCTTGCGCATCCCTTCCCGGACTGCCTTGGGGATGTGATACGGGGGCTGTCTCAGGGTGGTCTACCCAGGAGTCTTTACCTTGTGTACAATGTGGTGTACTCTGGCTCCTTGGAGAATGTCACTGGCTTGACCTCTAAGAGCTGTCTGATCTGTTCCCTTTCCTGGGGACTCAACCCTTCCCCTAACTGCACTTGGTCTGCCCTGCCTGTGCTTGTTCCTCTAGCAGGTCAGGTAAAGGCAAGCTCTATAGGTCCTCCAAAGCAGGGGGCACACACAGAGGTCACCTCTTTATCCCTTTTTCTGTATTCCTTTAGCATGTGGAAGATGTGGCTCTCTTTTTCATTGGCATAGTGGCTAGTGACTTCCATAATTTTCATCTAGGCTTTGCCTGGCTGAGAGTGAGAAGTGTTGCAACAACAAACAGCATGTTGTAGTCATCTCTTTACCGCAAAACCTTTAGTGGGGGATACATTCCTGTAACCATCATCATTAACCCCTTAAGGACACGGTTTCAGAAGTAAAAAGTCAGCATGACAGAACCTTTCCACCATGTGACCTTAAAGGGTTAATGTACCATGTAGGCATCACTACTATTGCGTAGTTTTTAAAGCAGAGGCTTCACTACATTAATTCATTGAATGTAAGAGATAAAGGATAGAGAAAAAAAAATGCTAAAAGTCAAAAGTGTAAAATAAAGAGAGCAAAATTTGCGCAAAGGCACATATTTCCATTGCTTATAATCGAGATGTCAATTGCAATTTAAGCTGGACATTTTTACAAACAGGTTTTACACTAATATTCACTTTTTGCTCTCCTGCATTAATTGCATGTCACTTAAAAAACAAACAAAAGAATTAAGTAACTTTGATCTAAACAATAAGATGTGCAATCCAGTATTGAATAAACGTGAACAAAAAATACTAGATTAAAATAATTACTTGTAGCATCTATATTTAAGTAAATCATTAGGCCTTTATTGTAGATAGATTAATGTTTCCAACAGTTATTTACATTGATGTCTAGGATGTGTTCGAGAGCAAAGACAGGCAGTTCCTTTTATCATCATTATTGGAATCTAGGCACTATCACCATTTATGCTCTTTTTACGAGCTCCAGGTCTATCCTTTATCTGATTTATGTCTGCTGTAGTTATATGGCCACCCCTACTCACAGGTAGGAGACAGATCTGTTCTGCAATCTGTCCAGGATCATGCAATGCTTGCATTGTAATCTCCTAAATCACATAAAAATTTAACAATTAAATGCAGAGTAGTTTTGCTATTTTTTTTTCCCCACATAAGGTTCTAGCCTTGCTGACCTACATTGCCGTTGTCCTGGGCATACATAATATGCATAGCATGCTTATAAAAAAAACTAAGTGGGCGACTGGGATTGACCAAGAAATATCATTCGATTCTGCAATCAGAGAGGAGTATTTTTTTCTTTTTAAATTCATATTTTTTGGAATTGTCTAATGCACTCTTCCCATAAGGCATAAATATGGTCAGCTGAATGGTCTCTCTTGAAAGTTAAGCTGTCATGCACCTTTTTACTATGTTTTTGTTTTGTTTTTAAAAGCCCTTGAAAGTTCATCTATACAGTGTGCTAGCAAATGTATAGATTGGGAGAACAATAGGTTTGTCACTCATTTCGGCACACTCAATGCCAAGGAATGGAGAGGTCCCTCTGCACTCCACCTATAGCATGCACTGTTGTTGCTATGGTAACTCTCTAGCCTGCGCCGCTATAGTTAGCTAGGGACTATAGGAAGAAAGCGATGTCACTCCCTTTAGACGCATGCTGGTAATGATGTCAGTGTGAAGGTGTCATGTGGGGAGGGAAGTGTCCCCAAGCAGGGCAAATCCACGAAGACTAGAGGAGAAGAGAGGGCAGACCTGGGGTGGTTGTTACAGAAGTGTAACATGCTCTTTAATGAGTTAATGGCCGGGTAGCAGAGGGTGAGGTAAGCGGTGACAGTTTCACTTTAATGTTAGAAGGAAGAATAAAAGCTAAATTAACAACAATTATGTGTGTCAAAAGTGGTCCTTCACCACGGCTACTTCACAATAAGTAGACTAAAATAACAAGATGGTGTATAAATCAGCAAGTCTTTTTCAGGTGTGAATAACCTTGAACAGTTCTTTCCACTGCTTGGTCCAAGCTGACTATTGGCTTATAGCCCATGTCTCTCTTAGCTCGATCACAGCTGTAGTAATGGTAAGTTCCAGCCAGTGCAACCCTCATTGGAGTGAATGTTGGTTTGATCTTAACAATAGGGCTTATGAGTAACACCAGGAGAGACACGAAGAAAGCAAGGTAGTAAGCCAACCAGTAAGGAATGTGAAACTTGGGTGCATCATAGTTCAGACCAACCAGGATACGGGATAGGAATGTCCAAAATGGAATTGGTTCGTCATTTGTAATGTGATAAGCCTGGAAATACATAAAAGCAAGCAATTAGATATGAAGAAAAGGAAAGAAAAACAAGACAAACTAAGCTAAAATTCTACAGAAAACCTTGAGAGGGAAAAACTAAACAAATCATTTAAGACCAAGCAACAATTCTGCAGAATTTAGAAATTATGAGAGCATTTAGCACCTATGAACTGCTTCATTTAATATAGCTTTCTCCTAAAATTAGTTTCAAAATGAGCTATCATGAATCAGTTTACTTTGTGATAGGGACAGGTTTTCTCAGCTGCTGAATAGAGTTATTCCCTCTCCATTAAGTTTGACTAGGAGTAAATCTTAAGTAAGTCGACAGAATAAGGAAATAAATGGTAGGTACTTGAAGACCAATAAAATTTCATCCCAACATCACAATTTGGTCCTTCAAGACCATCAGTATTATGGAATGTCCTGCTTATTTAGAATTTGCAGCTATATCAAGCCATGGCACAGTGAAGTGAGCTAGGCATTTTGATAGAGGATCTTTAAAGGCTGGTTTACAACTTAATAATTTTGTCACGGATTCTTAAAGGAATACTGTCGTAGTGGTTATGATGCCAAGAATTTGAACAAACAAGAAGTGTAAATATTCACTAAGCAAATCAACATCACAGCATTCTTTATTTAGCCTGCAAACATGGTGGAGCGCCTTGGCACCTCCCCAATGTACGCAGTCAAACAATGTGCTGTTTAACTTCTTACCTGTGGTTCACCGGACACTGCTCATCGCTTCTATGGGAGCTGGCAGTTCTTAACGTTGAGCTAAGTCTGGAAAAGATGTCTCAGCCATAAGCTGGTCAAGCACTGTAGAGCTTAGCTCAGGAGAGGTAACGGAAGCTACTAGCAAGAGTTTCCGGCTCTACAGAGAGGAAGATACTGGGAACAGGCAGACCCCAGAAAATGTTTGACTACTTACGCTGTGGGGAACACCAGAGCATGCCTGGCACCATAACCACTAGAGCACTCTATAGTGGCTATTCCGCTTGGAGTCTTCCTTTAAGAGGTTAAATAAGGCATTGTTGGAAACAGCAAGATACCTAAACAATTATACGTATTGCTATATGCAGCCATTTAACAGAATACAAAAATAAAATCATAATATAAAAATTTTTCTATGAATATAAAAACTACCTTTCCACACAAAGGAGAGTCTTTCTGTAGATGCTCAGCTGCCAAAATATGGCCATGAACCACATTTTCCACATAAGTAAAGTCCACTAAATTCTGCCCATTTCTGAAATTAAAAATAAATAAAAATGAAAAAAAAAAATGACAATGTTTACAATGGACTAAAATGTGTCTCCATCAAATGCAAGGAATAAATATGAAGCAATTTGTTACAATTCAGTCTTAAAGGTTTCATATTCAACTCTGATCTTTTATGCTGTCCTGATAGGAAGACATCTTATCTCATCACTTTGTCACTCCTCGAGTTTACACAAGTAATTGGACATACCAAACCACCTATAGGTGTATAAAATTTTTAACCATAAGACAAAAAAACATGCATTACATAACCGAATACAATAATTGGCTCCAAATGTCTATCCTTAGCATAATTTTCAAAGGTTTGTTAATTTTCCTGTTCCTTAAAAAGGGACATTATATAGTCACCCAGACCACTTCAACTCATTGTCTACTAGGCAGCTACTAGATGGACTTCTGGCTGGACGTCCTCAGTAAGAGGACTTCACATCAGATTGACAAAGTCAATTTATAAATGTCCCAATTTCAATTAAATACTGCACTTTTTATAAAAAACCCAAACCAAACAAACAAAAAAAACTGTATACATGCTTCACTCAAAGCACTCCAGCAAGTCCCTTTAAATGGTTTCTATGAATATAAGCAAGTCTACTCACTAGGGATCGATCGATATTGATTTTTAGAGTCGATACTGATAATCTGTGAATTTTTAGGCCGATAGCTGATAACGTACCGTATTCTGTACATTTACCGTTTTGAAAAAAAGAAACAATTTCTACACAAATCTACGGTTTACTGAACATGTTTATTTAATATTTTTTTTAGTAAATCTTTTTTTTTTTTAGTGGCAAATGTACAAAATATACATGCCAGTCAGAATATTTTTAATGTTTTCAAGAATATTTAGTGTTCCTCTCCCTTCCCTGTCCTTTAGTGTGTGTGCCATTCCTCCTCCTCTTTAGTGGTCCTCTCCCCTCCCTGGTGTGCCTCTTCATCTCTCTTGTAGCATGGCAGAGCGCAGCAGACCGCGGTGCAGGAGCTTCAGTTTCCTGTACCCAGCTGGACTGACAGGAAGTGATCTTTCATTGAGCACTTCCTGTCAGTCTGGCTGGGTACAGGAAACCGAAGCTCCTGTACCGCGGTCTGCTCTTCTCCGCTCAACCACGCTTCCTGTTGGTCACTTGATTCTTGCAACCCCAGAGCCGGTGCGCTCTAAGACGGACGCCTGTGCCACCTTATGAACGCGCCGGCCCTTTGTGCGCTGGGCCACCGCTGCCTCTCACATTATCAGCAATATCAGCATCAACAGTGGCCCATACCAATATTTGCCAAAATCCAGAATATTGTCCGATCATATCGGCCCATCCCTACTACTCACATTCATAGGACATACTATGTAAGAAGCAACTGCAAAAGGAAATTTT